AGCACTTTCTAAATTATAATATAAGAGGCTATAACAACGACAGTGAGATAACTATACAATAATCAATAGCGATAGAGCGCGAAAACTTTGATGAGAAAATAAATGAGGCGAATCACCTCGTCGAATTCGATTTCGCATGCTCGCCGCGAAATTGTAGCCAATCCCGATCGACCGTCATCTCGCTCGTGTCTCCGACATCCAAAATTTATCGATCATCGATTTGACGAGGAATAGAAATCTTCTGTTTTCTCGTCGCGCGTTGAGGCGCGAGGTGCGTTCTTCAGGAAGGAAGGACCTTCGGCAAGAAAAGGCGATCGATCGGCGAGACTAGTTGGGCGGGGCGGCTATGTAATTGACTCGAGTGTAACGAACGTTTTGCGAGCGCTCATTGTCAGTGTATTCGAACGCGTGCGCGTGTTGCCGCACTTGACGCGCGATATCGCGTTACGATACGATCGACGATGGGAACAGGATGGATGAACTCTCGCCGTCGGGAGACTCGAGAGTCGATCCAGTCACACAACAAGTAATTTATCAAAGAACGAACGCCAATTGGAAACACGCGCGTCGCCTCCCATGCAGCACAGAAACTTGCGGCAACAATAGACTTGTACTCGGCATCTTTTTTTCTCTCTTCGACATCTGAATATAGATATTTATTTCCAAATTCAAAAATTTTGGGGGCGATTTCAAGCAACGCGAACAGACTTATTGTAAGCAAGTTTGCAATGTTGCTGTAATATTGCTGCCCACAGCAATACTTCTCCGAGTAATATCCTAAGGATGTCCTCTGGACATCTTTAGGATATCCTTTAGAGAATTGGCGTTATGGATGGAATGATCTGTGCTGTATGGGGTTTCCACAGTCCGTCAATCGGGGCCTCGAAAGACCAGAGATCGCGATGAAATCGAATCGCTGGTCCCGCGGTCGATTCAGTCGGTGTCGCGCGGTCGATTAGGAAAGAAAAATTGGAATGATAAGATTCTAGGGGGAGAGCAAAAAAGAAGAGGAATAGAGGAAATTCGTGCCGGGTCCTTATAACCGTGAGAGATCTCGTGTGGAATGGCGATGAGCGTATGTACAAATGTATTTACAATTTCCCTTCGCAGAAGAGAAGGGTAAAAACCAGCGCTGACTCTCTTTTTTTTTTTTTTGATCAAAATGTCTCTTTGATCAAAATACGTTCTCATCTTCGGTGCGTTCCTCGGACGTGGTCTCCCGGGTAGTTTTCTCTTCCGGGCGATGATCAATATCTCTTCCCGTGACTGCCCAGATCGAGAATAGATCGGACGTCCTTTTCGAAGAGCAGAGCGATCCATCTAGTCCACGAGGAGGGTGGCCTCGATGCGACCTGTACCCTAGTGGGTTCGACCAACAGGTCACCGATCGGCGACCGTCGCGGTTACGACGGACGTCGTAGTGGTCGTCGTGGCGGCCGACGTGATGGTGTTCAGCAGGGGTTGCCTCGAGGACGACTGCGTAGTCGATTCCGTCGCCGTCGTCATCGTCTTGGCATCCTGATGCGCCGCGTTCGTTTCCTCCAGAGCGGTCTGCAGGTCGCAGATATATTCGATCACCCTCTGGATTACCTCGAGCTTCGACAGCTTCCGCTTGCGCGGCATGTCCGGCACGAGGGAGCGCAGCTTGGTGAGGTAAGCGGCGACTTCCTCGGCCTCGAGGTCGCGTCTGGTGCCGCCGATCCCCAGACCGTTGTGCAACACGCCGCGATGGTTGGGCGGCACTCTGCCGCTCACCGGGCTCACCACCATCGCCTTCATGCAGGTAGCGGCGGCGATCAGAGAATTACACGGCCGGAATCGATCGATCCGGCGCTCGGCTCTTTCCTCTCGACCCTCGTTCGCGAGCACACTGCCGCTGCTGGGTCTGGGTGATCGTTCGACGACAGCGCGTCACCGCACACACACATACACACCACCCACCGCGCGTGTGCCTATCGATCGCCGGAAAAGAGCTGTGCGTCGAACACCAAAGGCGTTAATGTAGCACGTGAAGAGCTTACTGCCTGTGTCCTGTTTACTTTGCCGTTGCTTTGCGTCTCCGTGGAGTAATCGTCCTCTCTCTCTCTCTCTCTCTCTCTCTCTCTCTCTCTCGTTAGTCGATCACGATCAGTTGTGGAACCACGTGCAAAATCACGCACTGATATTAGTTTCACCAACCAGCCACATCGTCCTCGAGCGACAGCTACGCGCCAAGTATGATGACGAACTGATGCGATCGAGCGTATATTGTATAGTGAAGCTGAACGCGCAGCCGGCGAAATATTGTACACGAATCGTTTGACAGATCGGAGCCGACTGGCCTCCGCCCCTCACCTGCGTCTTTTTATAGCCTTGCCCCACCCGGCTCCCCGCGCATACCCTCCAGACGCTTCCAGCATTTGTACGGCGCAATCGCTGCCCGAGTGGAGTAGTGGTGGCTTCAAGCCTCACGCGATCTCTCCTTCTTGTTGACTGACTGGCTACGTATTATGGAACAAGTCGGAATGGATTCCAATAAGAATTATTACTTTCTCTACAAAAAAAAAATAAAAATTTAGGGAATTATTAAATAACTCCGAATCAGAATCCATTCTGAATAATTCTATATAATATTTCGATCGGAATTTTCCAATTTTTTTCGAATTTTTAATGCGACTTGCAGAGAGTACAACTTGTAACTTTGTGAGAATCTCTCAATCGCAAATTCGAGAGAAAGAATTATTTAATTTTCATGTAGAACAAAAGAATCGAAAAAACAAGAAATAATTTAGATATACTGAAAGTATAATGGTTTAAGATAATTAAAAGAATGCTCGAAAATGATCGAATTACCAAGTCGATTGTTGATATAAATTTGCAATTATAAATTGCAAGTGATTTATAAAATTGACGAATTTTTCCATCACTTAAAAATCACTTTTTATAACTACAAAATTCTCAATATAATAAGAAAGCTCTTATCATATTGTTTCGCATAAAAAATATGTGACTAAATTAAAACTGATTTAATTATCTGATTAACAAAGTAAAATAGCTAAATAATAATTCCTATACCAATAACTTATTGATTATAATTGCTAATCGTCACTAATTAGTAAAATAATTAAGCGCTTATTAGTAATAACTACTCAATTATTTAACTAATTAATTGAACAATTAAGTAGTCATTATTAATTTATAGTTAAGTAATCAAGTAATTATTAGTAATTAATAGTACTACTTATTTTTTTATTACGAGGCTGAAGAAAACAACTAAGATCAACGTGTTTGGAAATACACATAGTGAATGAGGGTATCATCGGATTTCGCGTTGGAAAATCGCACGTGAGGTCCGATTCGAAGCTATCAGTAGTCGGGGGTGTTTGACGACTATGCGACTGGCGGCGTCGGTGGAACACGAGGAGAGTGTAAAAGGGAGGCGGGAAAGGGGAGCACTACCATTGTTGAACGTCCGGCGGCGCCAGCCACTAGCCATCACGGCTACCACTACCACCGTCATCACCAACACTGTAACAGGCGATCGACCAACCACCACTATTCCGGATTCTATATGTACTCGACTTGCACAGTGATGGTCACTCGCTAACCTGTACACCATGATTCCGGCCGTGCGATTTTCTCGCGGCGGCGAACGCTACGCGAACAAATTTGCGCGCTCGTATTCCGATTATTTACGTTGAAATCATTACGCGTTACGTAAATGCCTCGCGTCACGTAACTTTATACATATTGCATATATACATAGACATTCTTATAGAATGTAGAGACAATAAAATAGTTCTGACAATTCTGGAATTGTAATAAACAATTATATTGTAAACTATGTGAAAACAGAAGAGATATCAAAATATAATCATAGGAACAAATATGGTTTAAAGATGTATGACAAATTGATTCTAATTGATTACGTTTAATTAAACAAGGGAAATTTTCTTCTTTGCTCAAAACGAATTTTAATGCACGGTTTGCAGAATCAGATAAGTTATATATAAATTCATACAAAAATATTTAAGCACTAAGATTCACTTTGCTCGAATAAGGGATTTCTTTTATTTAATTAGATTTATTCTTATCGATTTAAATTCATATTATAATTGTCTAATTGACTAATTCGACTGAAATTATTCTTCTTTAGCCCCGCAGAAATGCCATATATACGAATGTATTCGAACTGCAATTTGACAAGAGTTATTTCGAGCGACTCAATCCTTTCGGATCGATTATTTTGTTCGAAGCGGCAGCGTCGTGATTACATTCGAAGCATCCATTTTAAAAAGTGTTTTATTCATAAATGCGCCTTTTTTTTCAAAAGTCCACTTCGACATCGTGACAACTTCCACGAGCTAAACCCATGGCATATACAAAAACGTAAGACAAAGTAAGGGAGCTAAGAATTGACTACAATCACAGTTAAGTATTTCCTTCTGATTCGACGGTAAGAAAGAAATTCGAAGATGATTAATCAATTTTTACAGATTACGACCAATATAAACGCTCTCTAAAATCGAAATCAGACTACGCATTGAAGATTGAGATTGAAATTTGATCAATCAAAACAAAAGCTAAAATTCCCTTGTCCTCAGTGATTAAATTTTAATCTTCAATCTTCATCTTTAATGCGTAGTCGGATTCCGGCCTAAGACGTAAAGCAATAAGGAAGTGATAACATTGAATTTGCTACTGGTCTTACATTCTCTACCGCGATTGGCCAATTTGCTTACTGCCTTACGTTTTTGTATGTGTCATTATTCCACACATTCGTTCGGCTTTATTCGGAGCCGCCACGCAAATATCGTCCTTCGGACAGCTCAATCTTCCCCAGCGAATATCCCGCTCGAGGCGATGGCGTCGTCGCGGTTACATCGTACTTTGTGTCTTCCGTCTTGCTCTTCCCGGCTCTCACGTGCTCGCACGTACGCGCTTCGTGACTTCGTAGCGAAGTCTCGTTACCGGTTGTTGAAGAATCCGCCCGATGTCCGGCGCTACGAACGAGTTGAATAAAAACAGAGAGAGGTGGCTGCGCCTGCCGCTCGATTATAGGAGAAAAGAGAACGAGAGAGAGAGAGAGAGAGAGAGAGAGAGAGAGAGAGAAAGCGAGCCGACCGGACTAGCGGCGACACGCTTCGTAGAATTTCCAGGCGACGTCGATATGCGCGTCGAGGAAGCCGCGATCTATGGAGACAATTGAGGGCAGCGGGGTAGACACGCGGACTCATTGACAACTGCTCGCGAGATACTCGCGCGATCTGCTGTAGCTGTACCAAGAGCTCTCTCTTTCTTATCGTTCTCGAAGATAAAGATTCCCAGACCGCGCGAATCATCGATATGTGAATTAATGGCCATAAATCATCAAACTCTTTATATTAATCCTGAATGAAGTCAAAATCTAACATAATTACTGACATTGAGTCTGTAAGATTCATTTAATTTAATACAAATAATAATCAACTGGATAAAATAAAATAAAATAATAATATTCGTAGTCTAAGAATAAATCCAATACGATTAAAATACTTACGTAAGTCTCTGCGGTTATTGGTGTAAATTATATATTCTTTCGCGATAAGACACAATTTGCAACGAAGTAAGTTTGTACTTGATTTCCGCACTGAAGAAGATTCCGGTATAGAGTCGAGAGAAACGTTTACGTTAAATTTAACTTCGTTTGATAAGTACATCCCAATTAATTGCGAATTGTATCTTATCGCGTTTGAATATTGTAATTTACGCACTAATAATCGTGGAAGCTCATATAGGTATTTTAATTGTATTAGAAATATTCTTGGAGTGTGTGTTGTCGCAAAATATTACTTTATTTTATTTTAATTCATTCAATTTATATTAATTAAAAGACACTAATTAATTTCAAAGAACGAAAAAAAAAATGACAATTCGTATAAAAAAGAATGAATATTTTTAACAATAATCCAAATTTTTGCATTTTTGCAGATATAACATAAAGAAGATTGAAATTCCCGACAAAAAGATTTATAATTGACCCAACATTAACTTTAGAAAGTCAAAACAATAATCTCCATTCCGAAATAATTTGTCAATTATTTGTCGAGCCTTTTAAGAAGAATTTCTGTACCTAAAAATCTATTATATTAAATTAGAAATTATCATTTTGCATAATTTATATAAACAGTTAAGAGAATACACTTCATTAACTTTGGTTGATATCTGTTTATTCGTGATACTTCAATCTGAAGTGAATCTTTTCCAAACGATAGCGGTATCGAAATAATTGAACATATCCGTTAAAGTAATTAAAAATTTTTATCCCTACTGCATGATCCAGATATTAAACTAAGAAAATTCATCGGATAAAACAAACTGTCTCCGACAATAAAAATTATCCCCTTTCATTTAAACCGTGAAATAAATAACATTCACAGTGATATTTACTAATATAGTCTGCCAACGATTTTTTTTCCAACAATGACCAACGCATTTCTTCTTCGTGATAAGCCACAGATAAAAAAAACGAGCACGAGCTTATTACTATCAGCGAGCAAAATACGCATCAACTTATTTGTTCAATGCCGCGTGCAATTCCAGAGAATAGTGGTAAAAATACGCAACGCGTTTCTTCATAGTATCTTGTACAGTTCGCTTAATGTGTCTTCGATAAGAATAAAAAGAGACGAGTCACACCTATATTGCTGGTGCGCAAAAAGACGGCCGCTCATGGATATTATCGCGACGATCGTTATTCAGAACAGCGGCGACAATTTCGCGGTGTGGTTATTGACGAGAAGAGATCTCTTCTCTCTTCACTTTTTCTCTCTCTATCTATCTATTATCTCAGAGGAGAAGCTCGGGAGGAATAATCTTGTGGAAAATTACAGGGAATAAAACCGAACGCGCGAGACGCCCGTGAGACTCGGCGGGCAAACACTTGTGCGGTTACATACCTGAGCAACCGGATCTCATTGACTCCTTGACCCCGGTGTTTAAGAAACGTAGTTCCCTTGACCTGAGAATAAATAAACCGAGGAAACGCCGCCAACAGGCACGCTATCGTCCGTACGCGAGAGAATTTACTGATACTTTTCATTGAGATTCTCGCAGCCCCGTGAATCTCATCCGACGCGACGTTACCGCATCACCGACGAGATCGCTCAATTAAAACCGGAAACATAAGATTCCCGTTAATGTGATGTCATAAATAGTCGCGAGGTAAAATTAGTCTCGACATTACACGTCGAAATTTCTGCATTTCATTCGACTCGAGTCACATATTTAAAAAAAGAAATCTGACATCTATAATGCGATAGCTCTGAAAAAATATCCTCGATATGTTGAAATTTGAAATATTCTTGAAGTGAATATTAAAAAATATCAGCAGATAAGGATGCAAAAATAAATATAAACGATGAAAGAATGATAAAATTAT